TTATCCCTTCAATCATGTCTGACTCTCAAAGACTACCTGGGTAAGTCTCCGCAGTGTTCTTGGCAAGGTTTTTCAGAAGTGGTTTATTATTGCCTCCTTCCCAGGGCGGAGAAAAAGTGAACAGTTAAAGGTCGTACTGAAAAACCTTGCCAAGAAAACTGTGGGGACTTACCCAGGTAGTCTTTGAGAGTTAGACATGATTGAAGGGGAGGAAAAAAGTAACAGTGAGTTCTACTAAATATTAAACCATTATCATTTTTTTTAAAAAGGCAGACATCCAGTGACACCACTGAAATAATGCAGGTGACAAGCAGTGATGCAATTTTTAGCAATACGGTTATATTTTATTATAGGTACATTCAGGCCACAATAATTTCTTGTTGGCAGGAGCTGCCAAACAAGCTTTCAAACACAGGTGTCTTTTTCCTACTATCTGTCTAGTATATTTCCCACACTTCTCACACTTCTTGTCAGCCACACTTCTAAAATCCTGCTCAACTTTGAGTAGTCAACTTTGAGTAGAAGAAAAACTTGTGATTCACATTACAGGTAGTCCTTGACTTACAAAAAAGTAACAGTGAGCAATCATTTGAAGTTCAGCAATCATTTGAAGTTACAATGGCACTGGTAAAATGGTGTGTAATTCACTTAAACAATTGTTTTGCTTAGCAATGGATATTTTGGGCTCAATTGTGATTGTAAGTTGTGGACTGCCTACATTTAACTCTTTTAACTGAGAAGACAATGGATCTTCAGACCCAACCTTCCGTGTTAGGCAGGTTAAAAGAAACAAATTCAGAAACCCAGTCCTTTGCTCTTGAGTCTGTAAAAGAGCAGGAAAATTTCACTTCCAGATTGCTTTTTCTCTGTATTTCAGGGTTGGATTCTACCAGTTCGCACCTATTCGCTAGAACCAGTTGTTAACATTCTAAGCCAGGGGTCCTCAACCACCGGGCCGCGGACCGGTACCGGGCCGTGGAGCACTCTCTACCGGGCCGCAAAGAATTTTTTTTTAAAAAAAATGGCAGCTTTCTTCACCTTCGGTGAATGCTGCTGGGATCGGGGATCAAGGACACAAATGAAA